AGCTATCAAACTCCATTGCCAACAATCTCTTTCCCCCCACTCGTGACATTTATTTTTTATTTGTTATAAAACTTAGAATGGCAAACAAGCTGATGGCCCACCTGATGTAAAGTGGTAACCGTCGCCTATAGACATGAGCAGTACCATGGACATAACAGAGTGTATACTCTGTTATGTTATGCGAAACAGTATTGTTTCGCCCATGATACACCCCATGCGTTGCCATTCCTGAGGACTCAGGTGTTATTCCTCTGTACCCTGTAAATTCACGCCATATCCCACACTTTAAACCAAAACACAGCATAAGGAGGTTAAGATTTACCCACTGTGATGTCTAGTAGGAGTATTTTTGAGGAGGTCTGTTCTTTATGCCAGATCTTTGTCTGTCAAACGACGATGCATGGATCGTTGTTTGCTAAGACTCTAGTGTCTGATTTGCACAAACGTTGCTACATAAAATACTATGTAATTTAAATTTTTTAAATTGATTATAACAGTAGCTTGTGTAATAGATAGCTATCATGATCAAGCCATAACTAAGCTGTTAAGGTGCTAAATCATTTCAATGACGATTTATTTCGCATTAGTCAAACACGATGTTGGTGTCGCAAGCAGTAATAGTTCGCCTCCCCCTGCCCCGCACCGCCACACTTAATGGTACCACAGATTCCATATAATTTTAATGGTGAATTGGCACATCGCGTCATTATGTGCCCGCTCGAGAACGTGCGAGCCATTGACATAGTTCCGTGGGATATGATCCTCTGTGGATCCCGCCGGATAATTTCATGATCATTGCAAATAATCTGTATACCGGTGTGACTGATCGTTTCACGAGTTCATAATGCTCATACATTTTATAATTACCTCAAAAAAGAACATATAAATTGTACAATTAAAACTGGCAGTAATATTTTTTTTTAATGGGTGATAATGGAATGGTATCCCCACCCGCGCTCTCGGTATACACCGGCGGGGCACCTTCACTGGTGCCCCGCCAGTTGATAGATGAGGATGAAGCAGGCCAGTTAGCCCATCGTGACGAATTCAACAAGAATTGTTCACGATGGTTTCCAAGGGGAACCACGTGGAGGTCGACCTAATAGGGCATATTGCTAGCAATGGGACTGTCAAACTCCATTGCTAACAATCCCTTTCCCCCCTGGCAGTAATGTTACATTGGCCGTGTGGTCCCGGCATAGAATTGGTCACAGCTTTCTTTCTCGAGGGTGTCGTAAGAAGCGACTGGGGGATGGGCAGCAGTGTTCCTCTTAAAACATCTAAATGATTTTGCATGCTTTAGAATATAAGGCGAACATTTGTACTTCACAATGGATTAATATCTTTAAAAAACAATGTTCTGGCAAATAAACAAATCTAATCTAATCTAAAATCTAATTACGGTTGCCATCCGCCTGCTAATCGTGGCAACTACTGATAAAACTCCCCTTATGGGGAAGGCTTATGTTCAGCAGTGGACAGTAAAAGACTGTTATGATGAATGTTACATTACTTCTCTACATATACATGCTTTACATTTTTTAATTTAATTCAAAAGGTAGAGATTCCTATTTTGCCTGTATTGTCCTGTGTGTACGTTATACGACATTTTCCGATCTTGAACCAATTTATTTTGGATTTAGTAGGATTTCCTTTCGTGACGGTTCCATATAAATAATTGATGTCATGATAAACATAATTTTTATTTTGCGAACCAAAGTTTTAGTCTATTTTGTGTGTATATTATACGGAATTTTCGCCAATTCTGAACGTAATTCGATAATGTATTTTTTAAGTTGGTAAGATTATTCTCTCTTTTTAACTGAGGCCTCAATTTATTTAAGATATATTTTAAACGTCCATTTGATTTTTAAACAAATATAATAAACAAAAATTGGTTAAGATTAACATTTGAAGTACGGATACTGCACAATAATTAATTAATATATGTACATTATAACTTCTGTATGTTTGTAAAGAATGACAATAAATGTATTATTATTTATTTATTTATCAAAATTTTTAGAGTGCAATTAATAAATATTTCTGTGTGACCGTACCAGTGATTGGGTATTAATCTCCGATCGATTGTAACCCCATACTGGTAGTCTCTCCCACTTCCTCCTATTACCCATACCTCTTTTAACCCCCTGACCTAGTAACTGATTGAGACTGCAGTAAAATTTGAGTATCAGTATACCATCTACACTTGTATAGCAAGTGTATAGTGATTATAAAATATATGACACTTTCAAGCTATATGAGTCTGTATTGCAAGAGTAAATATATATTACGATATTTGGCCCAAATTGCTGATCAATTATGATTTAAGAAACGATGTTCCGACGAGTAGATACTTAATTGAATTTCAAATTATCAATAACAACTCAATTTGGTTTAAAATGTATTTATTATAAGTTATTGCCGAGGAAATTCCACGCAGTTTTTTTGCGAAGGCGAAGCTTTTCCTTCAGTCGGGTCGAATTTCGAAATGGAAATCCTGTTTGTGAAATGGAGTAAAGAATAATGATAAAAATAAATGATACGTTGTATAATAAATAAGTTCGCCAATTGCAAATCAATTTCATGTTGGTTTTTTTTATTACAATAATTTTTTGTAACTTGTAATAACAATCAGGTTGGCCTTTCACCTCTTGTATGTGGTGACAGCCAATAGACGTCAATTGGTACAATGTCTATTGATTTTTTTAAATATATGCGACGTTTCAAATAGATAGATAGATAGATACTCTTAATTGTTTCCTCCAAAAGATTACAATAGTAAACTTATTATAGATATAAATAATTACAAGAAATAATCACAGTGAGAAAACAATGGGCGACCTTATCGCTAAGAGCGATCTCTTTCAGGTAACCTTTGGATGGAGAGGAGTAATTATAAACAATTTGGTGGGAGGCACGATGAAAAATTTCGTTAGTTCTAAATATGGAGATGTGATACATATAGTAATATAAATATTATCCCTACTCATTATTATATTTATACAAATAAGTACCTCTATAGATTTTTTTCTATTTAATTTAACCTACCCTCCAAAAATAAACATAATATTGTCTGGTATACAAATTGGGAATCTGTAATTACGTAATGTATGGTGCAAATATAATATTTTTAGTTATTCTAGATATAAGTTGTTGATTCCAGATGTAATATTAAAAAAAAAAAAAGTTATTTTCTCGAAATACATGACGTGAGTGGTGAGCATCCGATAATAATTAGATCAGGGAAGATGAGCTATCGACAATAATTTCTCATGATATGACGTATTGGCAGGGGGACCAATATCGGCTATATGCCTGATCAGTAAAGTTCAAATTCGAGGTTAAAACTGAACAGTGGGATTGTGACGTCAGGAAAAATTGTCCAATACCGTTAGACGGGAATTGGAGAATCCAGCAATCCACATGGCACAACCCTAATTAATGACTTTTTCTAGGGGTGTTATTAAAAGTGTAGTCCAGGGGCAGCAGGATTGGATTATGCCATCTCTGAGTGGGTCGCAAACGATGTCGTGCTCGAAGGGAGACTGTGTCGCAACTACAGATGGGCAAAGCACCGGGTTTAAACCCGGTGCTTTGGTAAAAACCCAATAAACACCCATAAACTCCCATAATCACCCAAAAAAATAGGTTTTTACGTATTTTTTTGAAAATATGTAAGTAATACCAATAAATTATTTTTATAAATTGTATTGATCAATTCTACAATATTAAATAAAACGTTAACTAATAATATTTCAGGAAATTTTAAAAATCTATATATAATAAAATGAAAGTAATTAATTTTCAGTGTTTTCATGTTGCAGTTGATCAACATGTTGGCCTTTTGCTTCCCGTAGATACTTTAAAATTTCTTCATAACACCTCGTTCGCACACATGGCCGTATATATTTAAATTCTTGAGCCACTAACAGTCCGAAATACTCATTTCTTTTATCCTCTTCTCCATAAATTAAGCATTTAGAACAGTTTGTTTCTTCTTTCAGTAAATTTTCTTTTACTTTATCCTCGTTTTTTTTCTTTGTTGCGACGACGCTGGGTAAATCATCTGGACACTGGGTCTCACTATCGCCAAATATATTTGGAGATCGACTTCGGCTACGGCTTGGCAGACATTTTTTTCTTTCTACAATTTTAAATTAAATTTATTAGAATAAATGCTTCGAACACACGCGATCTAAGTACCTTTTGTGTTTATTATACCTTACCTACCTAGGTATAAAAAGAGTACTTACGTAGATTTTCTTTTATTAACTGTTTTATACGAAGATCTTGATCTCTCAAATTAGCATCCATTTTACTTCCAGTGATTATCAACTAAATTAATAATCCACAAAGTATTAAATAACGTTTTTATGAAATATTTAGCACAAAAACAATACCCTTTAAATATCGATCGTCAGTAACTGTGGCTGACTTACCTATATTCTAGCAAGCAGGACTGCCAGATGTGAAGGGGAAATCCCCAATAAATTGTTGCATGTGACTGATGATGTGAGCATGTTCGTTTCATAATAAAAATGTTGCCAGGTAACCAAAAAGTCGTATGTTTTTGTGCGAATTACGATCATAATCTTTACGATCGTACATTAAAAAATAGAGAAATAATAGTATGAGTACGATTTAAATCGTATATCTGTCAACCCTGCTAGCAAGACAGCGACAAAATCACGTTGCATAACAATGTAGCCCAAGCTTATATCTTATGAAATATACGGAAGAGATACGGACTTAGAAAAAACAGAAATGTTGTTCTTTGTGGAAGTCATTGATGAAATTCTATGTATTTTAGCCCGCAAACTTTCTTCAAACAAAAACAGCGCCATCTAGTATCGAGTTCTGTAATTATCTCTTTGTTTATGGATTTGAAGTAAGACCGCCACGCATGCAATACATTATGACTGGGGATTCCCCTATTCGTCGACGCTGAATATGAGGCGACGACAATCACTGTCAAACGTGTTCACTATTACTCTGACTCTGGTAACGTGACTTCCTGGTAACGTGTTAGGTAGGAAAAGCAGTAAAAAAGTGCATATTAAGGGAGCAGATTTGAAATAATATTTATACTTAACAAGAAATAATTAAAGGTAAGTGGATTTTTGAATGATACAATTATATCATGATCACTTAACAATTTTAACTTAAAATTAGATGTATTATTACAAGCTTTTATTTAGCTTGCGTTATGTAAATAAAAGTATGTAGGTATGTTCGTATGTTGATGCAATTATCCTCAATCCTCAACCGACTGGGATAAAATTTTCCATACACGTTTATTTTGGATGATAGTGCATAGTTAGCTGAGAGTCGTCATTGGATAATAATGGTGGATAGCCTAAGATGTGTACTAGATATTTATTTTTAACATAATATGCGTAAGTACCTAATCGAATTAAAGAAGTTGCTGAGAAAAATACAGAACAATACGATAATAAACTAGCGTCTGCGTTTAATCCTCCGAGGAGATGTAATTTTACAAAGGCTTTTTGTATTTATTTTATTATTTTTTTAATAAATTTATTGTAAATAACAAGAAATAATCATTGTAAAAAAATAGGCACTCTATTGTTGAATTTTCGTCAGACCAACTAATCATCGTTCATTTTTTTAGGTTCAATGGGGAGACCTAAAGATTTACGCATATGGGAGCACTACCGTACTTTACCAAACAAGTCTGTTTCTTGCAAGCTTTGTAATAAGGTCTACAAATTCAGTAATGCTGCCAAAATGCTTCAACATCTTATCACTTGTCCAAAATCTCCAGAAACATTAAAAGACTCTATGAAACTTATAAAAGATAGCTCGTCCAAAACCAAAATGTCTGGACTGTCAGAGATAGAGACAAATGATTCTTTTATAAGCCCCTCGTCGTCTGCTAACACTACAATAAATGCTGAGTTTCAAGACACCGATGATCATATAAAAACAGAATTAGCGAGAGCTATATTTGTAACAGGGACGCCATTATCGATGGTGCAACATCCTTTATGGATACAATTTTTCGAAAAATTGCAACCAAAATTTAAAATACCTTCACGTAAAGCTTTAGCGACAAAATACTTAGATAAAATATATAGAGAAATGCGTTTTGAGTTAAATGAGGAACTAAATGCTTGTAGTTACTTACACCTTCAGTGCGATGGCTGGTCTAATTTAAGAAATGAAGGAATAATAAACTTTCTTATATCAAAACCTCAACCTGCATACGTTAAAAGTTTGAATACAGAAAGTAATCCTCACACTAGTGAATACCTTAGCCAAGAAGTTGAAAAAGTAATGAAAGTGTATGGAGCAAATAAGTTTCTTGTACTTATTGGCGATAACGCTAGAAATATACAAAAGGCATTCGAATTAACAAAACTCAAATATCCACATGTTGTTCCTCTCGGTTGCTGTGCACATATCCTTAACTTGTTGTGCCAAGATATTGTAAAGATACAAGAAGTAACTGTGTTTATTATGCAAGCCATAAATATAATAAAAACTGTTAAAAGGAGTCAACGATTAAGTTCCTTGTTGATAAAATCAAGGCAGGGTGAAGATTCTACACAAACACTAAAATTGCCTTGTGCTACAAGATGGGGAAGTCATGTTACTTCGTTAAAAAGTTTGAAAGCAAATAAGATAGCTTTGCAAATATTAACAGTTAGAGAAGATGTGGTAATTTCAAGAGATATTAAAGATTTAATTCTAAGTGATGATTTCTGGACGAAGACAGGGGAATGTATAAGTATTTTGGAACCAGTCACTGAAAGCATATTTTACTTAGAGAGCGACCAGAATCGTTTGCATCGCACATACATTACATTTAGAGATGTACAAGCTAAGATACGTTTTGCATTAAATGAGATTTCGACATTGAGCGAAGAAAGCAAACAGCAGATTCTAACATCAGTATCTTCAAGATGCAATATGGCAATGAGGCCAATACATTTTGCAGCATATATTCTAGACCCCAGGACTCTAGGAGTCGAACTTACTCAAGAGGAAGAACTTAAGGGTATGGAGTTTATCTACAATTTAAGCCAACACTTAAGTTTGTCAAATGTAATGGCAGATTTGGCGTGTTATAAAGCTAAAGAAAACTTTTGGGCCAGAGGATTTGTATGGAGCTCATTAGATAGCATTGAGCCCCTAATATGGTGGAAAGGTATTTGTGGTTCCACTGAGTTAAGCAAAGTAGCGATTCGTATTCTATCAGCTCCCTGTACTTCGGCAGCCACTGAGCGTTCCTTTAGTATCCAAGGCTACATACATAATAACAAAAGAAATCGACTTACAACTGAAAGAACTGAAAAAATTTCATTCATTTGTTATAACTGGAATCTTAAACATAAAGCTGAATGCGAGGACATTCAGTTTAATGAAGAAAATACCTTAGAAGCTTTCATTGAGCAAGTAAATGAACATAACAGTTTAGACGAAATAGAGCCTATCGAACCTATACAATTCATCGCTTGTAATAACTCTGAATCTGACAGTGATTGACTGTAGTTTTACATTTTACTTTCATCTCTTTCTTAATAAACTCAAAATCAAATTAAAAGTTTTTTATTCTGTAGGCTGCATAATAATATTGTCTATGTCCAGTATAGTGGACGTCTTGCGGCTGAGATGACGATGATGAAGTACAAAATCATAAACACCCAAAAATTTGGGTGTTTATGGGGTTTAAACCCAATAAACCCAAAACACCCGGTTTTTACCCACCAGACTTTAAACCCACCCAGGTGGATTGCCCATCTCTAGTCGCAACATACCGCGCAGTCGTGAACGAACGTACGCTATAAACGTGCATATTCGGAGCATCGTAAAATTAGGCCTTGCTGTATCTTATTATGTTAAGTAGTCGTCTATCTAGGCTCACCACTCATTTCTGCCAAGATAGGTATTAAAATTATATAGTCTCGGTGTTATAATAAATACTGAAATTACTATTTTATTATCAACTAGTTCATTGCCGTGGCTTTAGTCGTGTAAGTTATAAAATATTACCACAGGGAGACTTTGTACAAAAGTCGTTTGCTTGGGTGCCTCTGTCCCATTCGTGTTTCAACCGTAAAGCAGTTGTTTGCATGGCTGTGTTTCGATTTGAAGGGTGGGATAAGGCGTGAATTTACAGGCTACAGAGGAATAACACCTGAGTCCTCAGGAATGGCAACGCATGGGGGGTATCATGGGCGAAACAGTATACTCTGTTATGTCCATGGTACTGCTTATAGGCGAAGGTTACCACTTTCCATCAGGTGGCCGTTAACTTGTTTGCCATTCTACGTTGCATAAAAAAAATTTAATATACTTCATGTTAGTTCAGGAAACAGTCCATCTGAGTGCCACATTTTGTTTAATATTCAATGAATTAATTCATTGGGATATGACAGTAAAATTACATACTGAGGTACTGAGGCATAACACGTTACTTCTCAAGAATGGCAACGAATGAAAGGTATTATGGGCGACATAGTATTGCTATGGTATGGCGAAATGGTAGATAGATTTTACTGTGACACTTATTTTATTTGAGCCATTTATAACACATGTAAATTAACAAATTAATTACACTTTTTAAAACATAAAACAAAAGATATAATACGAAAATATGTTTTCGCCATGTGTGTCGTAGTGACCCCAATAATAGGTACTAAGTAGTTATATAGAAATTTTGCAAAAATTACGTACTTAATATACAATATGAAAATTGAATGAAATTTGGTTTACAGACAAAACATAGTTCTAGCTTATTACAACTATAGGTAGACCGGGGGGGGGCGAGCTATCAGTTCCATTGCTAGCAATATACCCTGTCAGGTCGACCTCCACGCGGTTCCCCCTGGAAGCCATCGTGGCTAATTCTAATTGAATTCATCATGATGGGCTAACTGATCTGTTTTCATTCTCATCGATCACCCTTCACTGGTGTTCCGCCAGCGTAACCCGTTAGCGCAGGCGGGGTTACCATACCATTTTCACCCATCAAAAAACAAACTATAGTTAGACCATGTTTATCTTAAACTACGTGGGCGAATTCGCGAGATAAAACCAATTATAATAGCAAATTTTAGTAGGATTTGCAGGAACAGGATACTCGCAGCAACGTTGGCAATGCATTAATATTGCTAAAACTATTGTTTGAGTATTATAAAAGTCTTAATTACTTGGGTATTAGCTCCTATAAAGTGCAATATAGCAAAAGCGTACAGCTACAACAGTGTGGTTATTGTTGGGAATTAGATAACTAAGAGAACTTTAGGTTCAAAGCATTGTTAGTCGGCTAATTTACATGGAGTTTATATTACTTTGTAATATTATTATTATATTGTTGGATTATTTTATAAAATGTAAGTTAGTTACTAGCAAGGTGATAAACAGGTATTAGGAGTATCGCCTGATGAGAAGCGGTTACCATAGCTTACGATCGCATGAATACCACGGGTGTAAAGTATGTGTTGTCGATTCTATAGTTTATCATGTATTTTAAAGCCTTTCTGAAACTGCGCTGTACACGACAATTTAAATTCTAATATATATTGGTGTCCGAAGGATAAGCAAACTGAAGTGGCGATGGACTGGTCACTTAGCTCGAAGAATCGACAACCGATGGGGAAGTAAGGTTCTTGAGTAGTGACCGCGTATAAGCAAACGCAGTGTAGGATGACCCCCCACTAGATGGAGTGACGACCTTAAATGCATTGCAGGGAGTCAGTGTATGTAGGTGGTTCAAGACCGTTCTTTATGACAGTGAATTTACAGGGTACAGAGGAATAACACCTAAGTCCTCAGAAATGGCAACGCATGGGGGGTATCATGGGCGAAACAGTATACTCTGTTGTGTCCATGGTACTGTTCATGTTTATAGGCGACGGTTACCATTTTCCATCAGGTGGGCCGTCAGTTTGTTTGCCATTTTAAGTTGCATAAAAAAAAAGTCTATGGGGGAAGCTTATGTCCAGTAGTGAACGGATAATGGCTGAAATGATTATAGTGATAATATGGGTGAACTCCTTTGTCGATGACGAGCTGTTTTAATTTAGAAGGTTGCCGTAAGCATCAAATTGAACGATCACAAAATATTGTATTATAATTTACTTGACTTTAAGTTATCAAGAGCGAACGCTTGCATTTTTTATTGTACTAACAATAATAATTTATTTGCCTAAAATATACTTACATAATATGATGTTACAATTTGCTGTTTAATGTTGAGAATGTTTCGCCATATTTAATAGCATGCAAATCTGTGTAGCTATTCATCAGATACGACGAATCAGTTACGTTATAATCTTAAACTAATTAATATTTTATTGTAATATTACATTTTGTAATATTAAGTTTTAAATTAATATTTATATAAACACCTGTGTTAATTCCAAAATTAAAATCTATATTTATTTGTACGCGCCATAATGTTCCTTTGTTTTTTTTTTTAATAAACAGCTTTCTATTTGCAAGCCAGTTCGAGATTTAAACAAAACCTTTTATTAATTACCTCCTTGGTAGCCATGTTTGGAAGTAAAAAGTCATTCCATTTTTAAATTACAGGACAGATATGAGTTTACATAGTAATTTATCTGGCCTCAAAACACGACAGATATGGATTTTCATACAACTTTTGCCGGCCGCTGCCCGCATGTATCTGGCCAGTACGGCAATTTTGATTTGTCTCTAAGAAGATTGTCAAAATAATGCTCACATTTCCAAGCATGTTTGAGAAATATATATATATATATATATATATATATATATATATATATATATATATATATATATATATATACACCTAGAATGACAAGTTGAGAGTCCAACTGATGAAAAGTGACAATGCCTATAGGCACAAACATCATCATGGATATTACCGAACATACTGTGACGCCCATGGTACCCTGGTGCGTTGATATTTCTGACTACGATGTTATGCCTCTGTACCCAGTCATTTCACTGACATAACTCTTCTAACAGAAATATTGACATACAAGTAAAACTGCTTTACGGCTAAGACTTTCGCTCTATTAAGCACTCGGACTTCAAAAAACTTTCAAGTTTTTTTAGGTCGGCAATGTAATGCCTCTGGTATTGCAGGCGTCCATAGGTTACGGTAACCGCTTACTATCAGGTGGGTTGTATGCTTGTTTGCCACCTCAGTGGTATAAAAAAAAAAATAAACCCGAGTGGGACAGAGGTAATCAAGTAGTCGACACAGTGCTGGTATCTCTCTCTGTCTTTCTATATACACTGCTGGTATTTCGAATTTCTAAACGTGTATGTTTGTGCAGGTCTATGTGCTCGGATCTGGTGTATGTCATCCTTTTCCCCCAACTGCTCATGGTGGTGCACTTTAAGAAACATTGCAACACATACGGCTCCCTGGCCGCGTACATAGTGGCACTGGTGGTTCGGTTGTCCGGGGGAGAGAAGCTGCTGGGTCTACCTGCGCTGATACACTACCCTGGCTGGGACGCTGAGAATGAAGTGCAGCTGTTCCCGTTCAGGACCATGGCGATGGTGATGTCCCTGTTCACTCTGGCCTTCATATCCTGGTTGTCTGTGTGAGTATAAATATAATTAATAGCTTTAGTTGGTCTTTCATTGAATTTTTACTTACTAATATTACAAATGGGGGGGAAAGGGATTGTTAGTAATGGAGACTGAGAATCCCATTGCTAGCAATATACTCAATTAGGTCGACTTCCTCGCGGTTCTCCCTGGAAACTATTATGGTTAATTTCTGATGAATTCATCATGATGGGCTAACTGGCCTGTTTTCATTCTCATCTATCACCCTTCACTGGTGCTCCGCCGGCGTATCCCGTTAGCGCAGGTGGGGTTACTATACCATTTTCACCCATAAAAAAAATACAAATGACAAAGTATGTTTGTTTGTTACATCTTAGCACTGTAACCGATTAACATGTGTTCCTACGTGTATTTGAGGTGGAGAAAGACATAGGCTATATTTATTCTGGTTGATTAATATATCCTAATTACATGGAAGAAGTTATGGGTAAAACCTAGTATTCCATTAAACGTAGATCATTCGGGCTATGCAAATTTATAGGACATATTTATTCTACAACAGTTATTTAGGTTTTCTGCTGATATGACGAGTTTATTCAATATTTTTTTAAAAACGATAGAGACACAAAAATGTGCATGGATGCATGGAACACACGTCTGATAGAAGACCGCAGCCATACAACGCTATTTTGTAGCTTTTTAGGGTTCAAAAAAAATGCACTTGATACTTATCCTTTTCTAAATAGATGTTTAAATAAACATATAAAAATCTGACAGATTCGCTGTAGGTTTAAAGCTAGATAGAAAATTAAAATGAAAAAGAAGAATGACAGAAAATAAAATTGAGAATTTTACATTCGTATTTTTGCCCTGAACTGTCTGTGAAACAAAGGGCTTAGCTGTAAATATTTAAAACCCTTTTTGATTTATTAAAACTTAGATTATTAAGATCGCTGGTGTCATCGATTTATGAAGTTACATTAATTGTTCACAGTCCGCCGTTTTGGAAGTTTCATTGTCACTTTTATACTATTGTATTGTGGTACTGTCTCCATATTTTACGGATAGTTAGTATGACTGCGAGAAGTATTGATGTAATTCCTTTATTGGCGGTTATGTCATAGATGTGTTTAGTATAGGTACTTTACAAGTTACCTAATAATGTTTGTGCCATTGTTAAAATAAGTGAAAATATATTGTAGATCTTGCAATAATGCAAAGATTGCAGGCAACCTTTTCTTTCTCGTAACATGCAAAGTAATTTTTGATTTACAATAAATTACTGTAATGCTTTAGTTTTGGTTATTGGTGTTTACATCTATTATATTATCAGAATTTCTAAATCGTTGACACATTGAAGTATTAATACGAATTGAGTATAATTTTCTTGAACTTCTTTATTCTTTATTGTACACAAAACATACTGTTAATCACAATACATTATAAACATAATGTACAAAGGCGAGCTTATCTCTAATAAGAGATTTCTTCCAGCAAAACCTTTTCATGTAGATTGTGTTATTTTAAAAATAAAAATAGGCAGTCATACGATCTGCATATATTGTATAAACACATAAGACATGTATACACAAAGAATAATACAAACTACACATTATAAATTGTAAATGAACTTCGATTGTTGTACTGCGTATAAGTATTTATGTTACGATGATAAAAGCTTAATATGAAACTCAAGACTGTGCTATTGAGCATATATTGATATGCGCCAACTAATCGGTGTGTGCCTATAATTATTATGATGACAGATGATTGAGTACCTAATTTATGGTCTCCTACAATGTAAAATAATCCGTGTACAATTCGCATTCGAGTACTCTGACACTTCCCTGTGATTGACTGGGAGAGAATGCGAGTATGACACGAGTCATGTAACAATCTCTTATGTAATGTGCCTCCCAAATGTAAAACTAGAATGTATTAATGAGAAATTTTATTGGACACATGTCTAGTTTTATAATTTCGGTATCCAATTTTACAGGTAAATGACGTTCTGTGGTTTATGTCAACCACAAAGCGATGCTTGTATAGTTATGTTTCGGTTTGAAGAGAGGGATATGGCGGAGCCATCAGCTTGTTTAGTATTATAAAACAAAATTGCAGGGTTCTACCCGTATAGCATAGCATCTTAATATTCGGGAATTAAAATAACGCATGAGGGGTACTTTAACGCATGAGGTTTTGTATGATTATCTGAGTCATCAGCTTGTTTTCGCTTTTATCATTTTAAACTTCATAAACCAAAATTCAAAATCATTACAATAATTAATACATTAAAAAAAAGTAATTTTTCCTTATTTTACTGGGATTTTACTACTGGAATTTAACGCGACGCGATTACAAGCAAATAATACATACATACCGGGGGGAAAGGGATTGTTAGTAATGGAGACTGAGAATCCCATTGCTAGCAATATACCTAACCAGATCGACTTCCACGCGATTTCCCCTGGAAACTATCACGATTAATTCTTCATGATGAATTCATCATGATGGGCTGACCTGTTTTCATTCTCATCGACCACCCTTCACTGGTGCTCCGCCAGCATATCCCGTGAATTACTAATCCATTTTCATCCAACAAAAAAAAAATACATACATACCTGGCTTTTATTGCTGACGTTTTGGCGTGGATTATATCACGTCGTGACCACGGCAGAAATTCTCCGGCCACCCTCACGTTATCACTACTATCGTCTATATTCCCTCATACACACCGTAGTTACGTACTATACTATCTTTTCCACAATCTACGGTACAAATCAGATATGTGTTTGTCTTTATTTAAGTTGTCTATCTGTCAAAGTGATGATAACGAGAAATAAGTATTTTTGCGTGAACACACATGATATTGTACCTTTTTCTCAATCGCATTTCCAAAGACAAATGATACGAAATTATTTTTTTTGTACCACACCATAGAGAAAATATAGAAGTTGTTTAATGTTACTTTTAAATAACAATATTTGTGTGTTTGTACAAGATTTTATTTAATACTCTTGTAATATAAGGCTTTATACATGTTACATACATACCAGCTTACACACCCAAATTCCCGAAGGAACAGGATAGAAATATGTTTATCCAAGTAATTACATGCGTTTTTGAATAGTATTTTTTTATGATTCTATCATTTAACGGACCGGACGGGACGAACGGGAACATTACTTATCATTATGCTGACGTATTATGTATATATATATATATATATATATATATATATATATATATATATATATATATATATATATATATATATATATATATATATATATATATATATGTATATATATATATATATATATATATATATATATACACGGTGGAGGACCGCCACTCGTATATGTGTATGTACATGTGCATATTTTTTATGTATTTATTTATTTATATGTTTACAGGGTTTATGTATTTTGTGTTATTTATATGTGTAGTTTGTATTATTTTTTGTGTATACATATCTTATGAATATGTTTATACAATATATGCAGATCGTACGACTGCCTATTTTTATTTTTTAAAATAACATCCAATTTATATGAAAAGGTTTGCTGGAAGAAATCTTTTATTAGAGATGAGCTCGCCTTTGTACATTATGTTTAAAATAAATTGTGTTTAACATTATATTTTGTGTACAATAAATAATAAAGAATATAAGAAATTAATATATAATACATTAAATGAATAATATAACGATAAAGATAAAATTTCTGATAAGCGATGTCGTAGATATCCGTTAGTGATAATAAATCCATTCTATCAGGTCGGCGGTCAACTTCTCTACGAGTATCATTCAGAATATAGGTTTCTTTACAAAATTTCCATGAATTATACGAAAGTTATTTATTTTATTGAAACAATTTACAATGTTATAATACGTAATAATTATTACGGTTACAAGTAAATTTCTAGAAAGAACGAAAAATAATTACACCCTTAGGTGTTCATGGAAATAACAGTAATGTATTTTTATGGAAATTTATATATGTACCTTTCTTATTTAATTTTTAATTGGATTTATGATGTATTCATGTTGTAATTTCTTTGTATTTGTTATTAGAATTCAAAATACAGTGACTAACAGAAACCCGAATAGAATAATAATTAATTATGCGGTTATTATGGAATTATTCTTTCAAAGTGGAATACATATATACTATGTTTGATTTTAACATTATGTATCCATTCTGCAGGTATCTATTCAACTCTGGTTATCTGAGTCCCGAGTCGGACTACTTCAACTGTGTGGTGAACATCCCTGAGGACATTCGGCGTGTAGACGAGCCCTCGGAGGCTGGAGAGCAGATGTCCGTGCTGGGCGGAGTTCCGGGCCGGCTGTACGGCGCGGCCTCTACCCTCGTCGGGCCGGACGAGAAGGCTGGCCGCATCAACCCAGCCCTGGAGCCCGACGACGATGACCTAGATGATCCCAACGATGGTCCAACGCCTCTATTCGGCAACAGTAGTGCGCCCCCGCCCGTGCAACCTTTCGGCAAGCAAACGGCTTTCTGAGACGATAAGTACCTTTATTAGTTCTCTTAAAGGTAGTGGTCGACGTGTCATGGCGAGGTGCGACGTGCTCGTACAACGGAATGTTATATTTTACGAAGATTTTACTCTACGACTTGTTTGTTTTCGTAATCATTACATCGAATAGGGAACTGTTTGAACTACAGTATTTTTCGAAAATTAGAATTATATGCTCAAACCTAATACATATCGCCAGTATCTTCCGATAGCATGATTTTGTACCTTAAAAGTTCAATAGGACATTGGCCGCTACTTATGATCACTTCATATAATGTGATCTATGTGAGAGGGATCACTAAAATAATGGCACGTACCATAGATAATATATGATACGCAATGAGGTTAAAGTATATGTACGTAGCAAATAATAATATGATCGCATTAAAGCAATAGACAATTTGTTAATAGTGATGTATGAAAAAATGCGACGTTATTTTGTAGCGGAATGTAATGTATATTATCTATATTGTAAACGATCAGTGATCACCATAAATGATGAGTGAAACGCATACATATCAACATGTGAAATCTTAATTAACATGGTTAGAATATATTTTATATAATATATAATATATTATTTATATTGATAAAGATTCCTTATTTAAGTCAATTAAAGTAGAGAGATGACGAGCACTGTATGTTATGTGCTTCGTAGATCATAAATGTAATATGTGCGTTGTAGTCACAGTTCACACTTGATAAATATATACATATAGCACACGTGACCAAAGTAATGTTCGGGTGTTAACCACATACCTAAATGTTGAATGATTGGAAATTATTTACACGTAGTGTGTTACATTAAAATATTGCTTGTAAAGCATATACATATCAATTAATGTCTAAAAACAAAGTATACCTGCCCATTTTGCATTAGTTTTATATATGAAATGTCAAATGCATAATTTTAGTTTAATAGGTACAGTTTCGTAGCCATACTAATAATAATATGTTAACATATACAGATCATTTATTTTATTTTATTATTCTATTATTTAATGAAGTATAAGATTAATATGCTTCAATAATCAACTCTCCCAGTGTTATCAGTTATACAAGAGGGAACTTAGGTATAATCAGCGCAGTTAAATACATACCTTGATATATAGGTAAACTGGACAGCATCTATAAATACATATAACATTAAAGAATGAAACTAATGGTTGTAGTAGCTTTCTTTAACACGATCACATCATATAGATTGAACTTCATAGTTTCATTCGTCTAGTATTTCATGCACAATGCTTTTTGTTTTCAATTTTGAAATACTAATTCAGTGCAAATGACACTGAAAATTACGAAATTGATTTTCATTAAAACTTATTGAAAATGATGCGTTATTTTGTCATATCGAATGTTGAAAATTGAATGGTCGGCCTAAACGCGCTGGCGTTATAGCGGCTTGTATGCAATTCGTGACACGCAGAGCTGGTAATAATTATTATGACGTATTTCGCATTTAAATATTTATATTATTGTTATTGTATGATGTGAAAGTTTATGAGAAATAATACCATTGGTCAACCTTACAAGTTTAGGCGTATTAAATGTGTGTTGGTGTTCACCATATGTGTGTCTCCCCGGTCCCCACCACGGCTGGCACCACGCGTGTTTCTATCTGTGTTTTATAATCGGTGTATATGTCAGAATCTGACGCTTTTTGACCTAATTATAATATCGTAATAATAAAATTATTCGTAATAGTAAATTTACATTGTACAATTCAAATTATTAATTGGCTTGTAAATTCTTTTTAAGAGTTTATATTTATCGCTAAATTATTAGCGTCACTAATAAGGTTATATTGTAAAAGTTTTTAATATATGTTGCGAAATAACCATTTAATGTGATAATATATATATATATTATTATATTATATGTACTACAAAGTAGCTATATATCACTGTAAGGGCGTGCTGTCCGATCGTAACCTTTGCTAAGACTTCAACCACGATACATATCATATTATATGTGACTTAATATAGAATAAAACATATATTATACATATCATAGAGAATTTAGTGTGAAACGGATACATATCAATAGTTATAAGGGTAGATATAGGTCTTGTTGTTGTTCTTCGGCGTTGCTTTCTAGTATTCATGCGTACTATATATACATACTTGCATATACTGTGGACTTGCTATTCTTATACGGATACTGAAGTAGAGGCATACTTCGTTTTTAATATATTATATCATGAACGTAACTTAATATGAATTTTGTCATTATTTATAAAAAAAAATGGCAATAACATATGTTGTAATTTGTAAATGTGTTTATTTATTTAACTCTTTATTGCACCATAAACAAAAATATACAATGACAAATGAATTTTTTTATCTCTAAAAGGAATCCTTGTCGTTTACTACTATCAGCATACTGCTATATACTATATTGTTGCTATATATATATGTATATAGCCTATATGTACAGAGACATATATATCTAATAACAATTGTTACGAATATGAATTGATTTAAGAATATTTGCATTTAGTTCCATTTTATTTACCTGGAATTCATAAAACTAACTCCCGCGACTTCCCAGTGTATTTTCGGAAAATCCTTTTTAATGTTAATTTACGTAAAGAATAATTTTGCTTAATTCCACCTATGTAGACTCTGCAGTTTTAATTGTGAGCATATAAGTCGATCTAATGTAGTATAACTATGTCAAGTCTGTTTAATTATATATATCTACATTGTTAATCAGTTTTTACGATGTACTTAATTATGTTTAAACTGAAAATATTAAAGTTTTTACGAGAACTCTTTATTTTGTGTTTCTCAAAGTATTTTAATAATTTAATTATTCCTATCTTAATTAATTGTAATTAACATAACAACCCATTTATTTTTTGTATATTTAAAACAATTTTGAGTGTAGCTACGTTTCTCTTACGTAAACAAAATGTGTTTGCGAACAAATTCAACTAACTCAATATACGTATAATTGTACTGATACAATTAAATGTAATTATATTTCTGTTTACACTTACATATGTACGCCATGGTATTAGGAAGCAATCGGTCCACTGTTAGATAGTAGATATATATACCTACTATTGACTTATTTCTAGTTCTTGTTGAATATTTTGAAAAAAAAAATGTGAAAAAAATGTGTAACGTTGTGAACTCTGCGGCCGCTGCTGCGACAGTAATAAAACATATAGTATGTTGATGTGTTTCTTTTAGTGCCGCCTATACTGTACATACCCTTGGCCGTGTGGTCCCGGCATAGAATGGTCCACCCCATCATTTACCATGGTTGTTGTAAGCGACTAAGGGAACTTGATGAATGAATGCAACTATTGTTCTCTTCAAAGAATGATACAGATTATAAAGATAATTAATATGATAAACATCAATAATATATATGTGGATGGAAGAGGGATAGGCAGCAGTGTCCTTCTTAAAACATGTCTAAAAGCCTTACTGCGGTTGCCAACTCGCCTGCCAAGCATGACAAGTACTGACAAAACTTCCCTTATAAGCTTACTCTGTCTCTTACTTATAAACTGCTGAGTAGTGGATAGTTAAAAGATATGATGATGATGAAGTGAATACTGCCGCCTATGAGCACCTACGACACCGGAGGAATTGCAAGTGTGTTGGTCGGCCTTTTAAACGGGAATACCAGTGAAGAATGATGGGTGAGGATAAAAATAGGTCAGTTGGTCCATCTTAACGAAACATCAAGAATTAACCACGACGGTTTTCAGGGCCAACCGTGTGGATATAGACATGACATAGTAATAGGTTACTAATAATCCCTTTCTGGGGGAAAGGGATTGTTAGTGTTGGAGACTGAGAATCCCATTGCTAGAAATATATCCAACCAGTTCGATCTTCTCGCGGTTCCCCCTGGAAACTATCATGGTTAATTTTTGTGATGAATTCATCATGATCGCAGGCGGGGAACAGTGTTTGGGATGAAGAAGAACATGGGTGACTTTTTATTCCGGTCTCGCGAATGAAGTTGTCAATGTAGCTAGTATAGGTAATGGGGGAATGGGACGGTTAATAATGGGTTCTAATAGCCCCATTGCTAGCAATACACCCTATCAGGTCGATTTTCACGTAGTTCCCCTTAGAAATCATCGTGGTTAATTCTTGTTAAACTCTTCACGATGGGTCACATGACCTGCTTTCATCGTCAGCTATCATTTCTCACTAATGAACACTAGTCGCCAGTGGCCTATTATGCGCCGGGATCACGCGTCCTATTATAATTTACATTGCATTAATTAAAAGGACAGCAGGATTTCTATTTAACCTTATATATTCAGTGAGACCAGGGTCAGTATACGAGTATATATGTACTTATAATATTTTTAAATAAAGATAAAGAAGTCTTGTCTAAATAAAGTTAATTATAAATATTTTTTGTTTGATAGCATTTTTTTATGAATATCCCGCCCAGTTCAGAATGCAGTTTCACTTGAGCAGAACGGACAAGGAACTCGGCTGTTGATGTTGTTAATTTTTTTATTTATAGCAACACCAACATCATATTGCATTATAAAATGTATAACTATATGTTATAAGTTAATTATATTATTAAATAGAAGTCATATATAATGAGTAATAAGCTACCACTAACAAATACGTTGCATCACCAGAGGGAGACTTTGTACAAAAGTCGATTGCTTGGATACCTCTGTCCCATTCGTGTTTCAACCGCGAAGCAGTTGTGTTTGCATGGCTGTGTTTCGGTTTGAAGGGTGGGATATGGCGTGAATTTACTGGGTACAGAGGAATAACACCTGACTCCTCAGGAATGACAACTCATGGGGGTATCATGGGCGAAACAGTATACTCTGTTATGTCCATGGTACTGCTCATGTCTATAGGCGACGGTTACTACTTTCCATCAGGTGGGCCGTCAGCTTGTTTGCCATTCTAAGTTGTATAAAAAAAAAATTTGAATAGGATATATCTACTGGAATCGAAGCAATAAATACACACAGTTATTTACAAATTTTTTAATTTATACAAAATGTTTTTAAGTACTTACATACTAATTTTTGTACAATTCATTATTAAAATTAAATAAATTTAATACTTTCGTTCATTCGCTTACCACAGTGGTAAGCTTGCGACAGATCGATAATGAGTGATACTGATAGCGCGCGATAAATAAATAGAGAGTCGACACTAGCGCCCGCTGGCCTGAACATCCGTACTCGAACAGCGCCCGTACAATATTCATTGTTTGTTTATACAGCGTAATCAATTGAGAATATTGAATTGAGCTAAATGTTACATTTACTTGTAGCAAACTATTGTCGGAAGTTACAATGTTGACTGGCAGATATGGTACTGAGTTAGTACCCAGTACAATATCTGGATAGACCCAGTGGTCTACATCCAAATTAAACGGTAACCTTATCACAATTGACACTATCAATTTCATTCCTGAACACTGGGCTTATGTAATATGTGACAGAAGACTCCATCACGCCAATACAAAGCCTATCCAAGTAGCTTACCAAATTGACTAACGTATGCATCCGATAACGTGATACTAAGGGTCTTACTGTCTCTAGTATACATACCCTCCATTTGAATCGTATCCTTGGCTGATAGTGGCCGGGACGCCGCTGGAGCCGTGACCACCAGACGAGAATCCGCCGGAGGAGCCGCCTGAGAATCCCCCGGATCCACCGGAAGAGTATCCACCTGAACTGCTCGAGGAGTAGCCACCTGAACCGCCGGATGAGAAGCCACTGGACGAGAATCCGCTAGAGAAGCTACCTGCGCTCGGCGCACCGTAGCTGCTAGATGGCGCTGCTGCCGGTGCCCCATAAGAGCTAGAAGGAGCAGGTGCACCATAACTGCTAGAAGGAGCCGAAGGAGCGCCATAACTGCTAGATGGAGCCGAAGGAGCGCCGTAGCTTGAAGACGGAGCACTGCCGCCGAAACCGCTTGATCCAAAACCGCTTCCACTGAATGCGCTGCTACTGAACCCACTGCTGCCGTGACTAGACCCAGATGATGGCGCGCCGTAAGACGAAGATGGTGCTGGGGCGCCATATGACGATGATGGAGCAGGAGCGCCGTATGAGCTAGATGGAGCAGGGGCGCCGTAAGAGCTGGAAGGTGCGCGGGCGGGGGCACCGTAAGAGCTGGAAGGTGCGGGAGCGGGAGCACCGTACGAGCTGGATGGCGCAGGTGCACCGTAGGAGCTAGACGGAGCTGGAGCGCCATAGGAGCTCGAAGGTTTTGGAGCACCGTAGCTGCTAGATGGCCTTGGAGCATTGTAAGAGGTAGAGGGTCCAGTTGGGACTCCATAGCTCGTCGCTGGCGGTCTAGCAGGAGCTCCATAAGAGCTGGATGGTTTCGGAGCTCCGTAGCTTGAGGATGGACGTGAGGGTGGTGCACCGTAACTGGATGATGGGGCCGGGGCACCATAGCTGGACGATGGGGCTGGGGCACCGTAGGAGCTTGAGGGGGCGGGTGCTCCGTAGCTAGATGAGGGAGCTGGTGCGCCATAACTGTTAGAGGGCGCCGGGGCTCCATAGCTGCTGGAAGGTTTCGGAGGTCCGTAGCTAGACGAGGGCCGGCTGGGGGCGCCATAGCTGCTCGATGGTCTAGGTGCACCGTACGATGATGACGGCCTGCCACCGCCGAAGCTGCCGCTCGAGGGCGGTAGGTAGGATGAACTCAGCGGAGCTGGAATAAAAGCAGTGTTGTTTTACTGTTGCGTCATCAAGAAATATACTGTGTAAGAAATTGGAATGTGTGGTAAATTTCACACTTTAAGAATCTGGGCTAAGTAATGTCAATATTGTGAGAGCACATCGAAGACAAACAAACAGAAGCCGTTGGGTATCGGCTCGCCGGCGTGCTAATGGCGGCGCGAGCTCTGACGTAAGAGGACGAAGAGAATATGTGTACATAAGATGCAATATTTACCATCGCGCTTGTAATGTCTCCGCGGCGGTGATGCTTCGATGCACGACAGCAGCAGCAGAGCTGGCACCAGCTGTAAACAAATTTTATTTTAGTGGACAGCTACATAGAAAATGGTAGTGAAGATCTATGATTTAACTAGGTATATAATTATATATCTTATTACAAAATTATGAAACAATTAAAAATGTATTCCATATAAAAAAAACCATTTCAAATTTGATAAAACTAATATGATACCAATATGAACATAAGTACCATAGTTTACTCTTAAAATATAAAAGTCACATTCAGATCAGAATTGACGACGCTATCGTTTAAATTAATACATATTTAAATTGTTAAATGATTGATGTATGTTATAAGTCAAGTCTAAATGCCAGAGACTGTTGCTAGTAACAAGTGCATCTTAATTATAGCAAGAAATTAATAATAAATTATTTTTTTGTAAAACACAATCATAAATAATCATTCTGAAATCCTAATAAAATCATTAAATTTTAATTTAAAAAATATAGTTATTTTGATTTAAAAACTGGACTGATTTTGATAAAATTTCTATGAGACCAAGACCTGTAAGCATATCCTTTCAGATAAAAACAAATTTTATAATTTCCTTCTTTTTGAAGTCGTTTGAAAAAAAAGAATACACGAACGAAAGGATTCCGACTCCTAAAATATATTATGTGAGGCAGAAATCACAATAATCAAATTGTTTGTGTGGCGTGTTTTAACATAATTTACGTATTACAAGGTTGACGGGCTGCATTTTTACGGGATATCAACGTGCTGTTACTTAGCATGAGATCAAATAAAGATCTCAATTTGAGAGCTTTATTTGTGAGTTTAATAACTAGTTATTAAATACTAGCTTTTGTTTGCGACATCGTCCACGTAATTAAGATTTTTTTATACTATTTAGAATAGCAAACAAGCTGACGGCCCACCTGATGGAAAGTGGTAACCGTCGCCTATAGACATGAGCAGTACCATGGACATAACAGTACACACACATACTGTTTCGCCCATGATACCCCCATGCGTTGCCATTCCTGAGGACTCAGATGTTATTCCTCTGTACCCTGTAAATTCACGCCATATCCCAACCTTCAAACCGAAACACAACCATGCAAACATAACTGCTTCACGGTAGAAACACGAATGGGACAGAGGTACCCAAGCATTCGACTTTTGTACAAAGTCTCCCTCTGGTAAGAAAAGTAGCCTATATTTTTATTCATCCTATAAAGTATATGTATAAACATAGTAATTGGTTAAACCGTTAGGGAGTTATAAGTTATTAAACAAAACACACTTTCACATTTATAATATCAGTAAAGATTGCTAGACACTCAATGTTAAACAATCGGGTAATAATAAAGTTCAGAAACGAAATAAATATGTGAGTTGAAACACCATGATTTTGTCATGTAGAAACAAAACATGATTTCTCTTTTACGTTTGTTCATTTAACCACACTATCTCATACAAATAGTGGCATTCGTTGTTCATTGAATAGCAATTTACGTGAAGCAACTCAAGTTATCGTATCTCTTCCCCTGACATTGATTCTGTCACCCAAATCCGAATTTATTTGCCAATGGCGCGTGTCTCATTTGCTGCTGAGCTTATTATCAGATTATTGTAGTTCGTACACGTATTGTAGATACATTGTACGTAATCGATATACGCTGTTAAATCTATCCCAACAAGAGCTAGATTGCTGTACGCGCTAGGTAGTGTCCTAAGGCTAGATGTTAACGACCAATTTACGCAACTGTTGACGAAACTATGATTTTTCTCGCGAGTCAAGGCAAGGCTGCGGCGGTGATCATCATTTCCCTTTTGTGTTGCAATACAACGCCAGCTGAATATGTACTTGTATTAGACATTGAACTTGAAATTGTTTTAGGGATACAACATTTAAAAATCTCAATTCAACAATTTAACACGACGTCTTTGATAAGAATCATTCACCGTTATGTGCTTTTTCTTATTGCTGTAATTTTTCTTATAATAATTTTATAATAGTTATAATAATAGTTCTTATACTTAATAGTTTCTTGTCTGGTACTTAGTGCGCGAGAATTTCAGTGGTAGGGAAAACTAATAAATTTGACAACTACTGGATTGCGTATCAAGATGAAACATACATCAGATTTTAGGTTAGAGTTTTAGGAATATAAAGATGATAACCGAATCCGATTTGATGTAGTTTTTTCGTGATGTTGGACCAAATATACAGGCAGGTTCTAAAAATTATTGTTATGGTATCTATTGTTCTTATTGAAAATATGTACAGACATCGTCTGGTTAGAATTTTATTGTATTAATAAGATATTATTTCAAAAGTATTTATAGGAACAAGTGGAACTGGCCCTAATTATGATATAATTTAATTTAATTTAATTAAGTATTTTAAATTTTCTTTCTCTTATAATAGGACTGAAAGGCAAGGGGCTTTTCAATTAAGATCTCCTAAGACCGCAACACTATGTGGAGTAATACTAAATATACTTAGTGATTAGATTCTGAAAATCACTTTTGTAAAATTATAACCTGGCCAGTATTATTAATTAACATATAGCAATTTATTGCGAAACGCAACGAGAGCCTTATAAAATATATGCATTAAAGCTATTACAAGTTCTGAGTTTAAAAGAGATTAGTAAAGATAAAGTCAAATATAAATATTCGAAGCGGCGTTCAAACTCATCTAATTTGCTTACAGCATAAATAGCCAGTTAACATCCATGACGCGTGCAAACAAAGATCAGCCGCCGCGCGGTGAAAATCTTTCTTTGCTCTACTCCGTCGGCACTTGTTCCGAAATCCGTTCACGTCACTCGTAAACATGCTAACTCCACTTTCGCGAATCTCTAAACTAGATCGTTATCTATGATAAAAACGTTTGTTGTCTATTTTCAAAGAAGTATTATTGTTATATTGCAATATGGACATTACATGGTCCTTAAGTATAACTTTGCCTTCCTTTGTGTGTTTCATAGCTTGTAGACCTTAAATGGTCGTGTACAGTGCGGTTTCAGTGGAATTTCTCTAAAGTGAGGTCTCTGTCGAGGTTGTCTCCGAAACTATAGTTTGGGGTTCTTTAAAAAGGGCAGTTAAGACATCTTCATGGCATAAAAAACATGTAGATTTTGTATTTTCTATTTAAATCGTTTTGCACTTTTGAAGCCACTTCTGAAAGAAGGAGGTTATTATATCTCATAATATTTGATAGGGTTTACTCGCTTATTAATTGACATAAATATAAATTCTCTTGAACGATTGAAACTGTTGCTTTTGTTTGTGGAGCAAGCAACTGGTTGTTATAAAGTAACGTCTAATTGGAATAATTTAGTCTTGAAAGTCAAGATATAAAGTTTATACTTGCAAATAATTCAGATCTAATATGTCTACCAAATATCTCCTTGTTCGTCCGTGTATACGTATACTGCTTTTTTTCGCGGTGAAAAATGTTGGAAAATCTAAAAAAAATAGATTCGATTTCGTAGTGAGAGCATACAAGAAATGCGAAAAGAATTTTCCCAGAGACATAAAAAAGGGCTCTTCAGATGTGTTTTATTGTGGCAGTCCTTCGGAACTGTCCCGGTTGAAGGCATGGGTTGAAGCAGTCTTCAAAAGTTTTTTAATTTCAATATTATTTATGGGTACTAAACAAAATACAAACAAGCGGTTTCTCATGGTTTCGTTATTGTTTATAGGGTTCTTAGTTTCTCCTCCTTCCTTATTTATTTCATAGAAAATTCATAATTTTAAACCAAAATTTCAAACTAAGTTTGTGCCCATAATTTTCACCAAAGTCTGTGGAAGCATTTTGGCATATTTCAGCAACATTGTTAAAACTTTCGCATTAAGGGTAAATAACTTTGTACAGGTAGGAGAAATCTTATATATTTATAAATTTTTCCTTATGATTAGCCCTAATTTTTAACGATGGCAGAGACTTTTTATCGCTTGTTAGGGAAAACCTTTTCAATTACTTGTTGAGTAATATCAATCAATTGTAAAGATTATCCTTTAGTTAATTAAATAAAAGTTTAATATGACAAGGTACAATAGTGATTAATACTCATGACTAAATACAATTTAATAATGTGGTGTAACGGTCTGACGGTCTAATACGAAATGTAATTCCGAAATTTCAGATCCAAATTTCTAATGTATGATTAAATCCGTTTACATTAAATACGTTTACAGCAAAATTGGACTCGTTGATCAAGTGTGATTTTAATCCATCATAAATAATGTCTCGATAACATATTTTTGATAATTTTAACATTACATTTAAATTTCGGACAGATTTTCATTGTATGTTCATTATGAATCTTGAAGGGAAGAAGAAATCCCATTTTGTTTCTATGCGGCTTTATGATGATTTAAGTGTGCTTGATCTGTCCGGAACCTGAAGGCCTTAAATCATTGGCTTAAATAATTGCATAAACAGCCATTGTGGTCTATTTATTCCCAAGGGTGTACATTATGATGTGGCAACAACGAGGTGAGGTGAAAAACAAAAAGCGCGGATCCGAGTAATTGCAACATTATCGGACGCGAGTGTGCCAACAGGCGGCCAGAACAATAGCGGCACATGCAAATTTATTCTAATTAGGTGGTTCGTGGCATTTCTTTCAGCTGTGAAGTGATTAGCTTGTTGTATGCGGTCGTGGCGCTGTAATGGCGGCGACGAGAATGCGCCGCGACAATGGTAGGCTGCTAGGCCCAGCTGGACGGCGAGTTGCCACAACTTACAATTAACTCATTCATCACTGGAAAGAATGTTCATTGTTTTTTTTTTATCTATAGATTTTGCCACGTTCAGTTAAGTTAGTAAAATTCTTTAAAATTAAATCTAGAATTATACAAATAAAGTCGATTGCTTGAGTATCTCTGTCCCATTCGTGTTTCAACCGTGAAGCAGTTGTGTTTGCATGGCTGTGTTTCGGTTTGAAGGGTGGGATATGGCGTGAATTTACTGGGTACAGAGGAATAACATCTGAGTCCTCAGGAATGGCAACGCATGGGGGGTATCATGGGCGAAACAGTATACTC